TATTCACGATTTCAGAATCATAACGCGTTACGATCCGAAATCTAGCAACCTGATTGGTTTCTATCGGATCGTAACGCGTTTTGATTCCGAAATCATGAATAAAAAAAAGGGCTCCGATGTACGGATGTACCAAGCAAAGGTGATTACATATCTCTTTAATAATGCTAAAAATATATTTTTAAACCTTTTCACATCTTAGATTTCATTTATGCATATATTAAAGTGGTTTTGGAGATATTTTGAAAAAACGAATGAAGTAATAAAATTAGTCTAAAAAAATAAACATGCTAACTTAAAAGTGTAGACGTAGGTATTCTTTGTTGCTGAGATACACAATGTCAATATTCTATTTCCTTTTTCTTTAATATCTTCGAAACTTTAGTGATTTCAATGAAGTCTGAGTATCAAAGCATTAAAAAGCTGTATATTGTAATTTTTTTGATTTTTGTCTAGTTTAGAAGGTAACTGTAGTACAACGGTTTAAAATAACATCTTTCAATCTTTGGCTAAATTCTCATATTTGCGTTAGAATTAGGTCGAAGGCTAAATGCAGTGAAACTGACGGACAGTAGCCATTTTCTACTATTTTCTGTGTATGTGTTGAAATAGTAGTTTAAATAAGTGATTTACAAATTAAAGCTATCTATTAAGTACAATATAATAGAATTGCGTTTACCTCATAATCCAAGCAAAAATCAAATAAATTTCAAGAGGTAACATTTATATTCAACTGTCTAGTCTAGATAACTATATATCTATGAAAAATAAAAAGTTAATGGTGTACATATTTTCTTTTTTTACAAAACTATTTTTGTGTTATGGTACCTTACAAGCATGTTTCATTAAATTACAAGTCATTTTGGATACATTTTGGAAAACACTGAAGAAAAAAATAAGTCGGTTGTTTTAATTTTGGATGAGCAGTCTCCCCATAACGATGGTACATGATTTTTGAAACACTAAAATAGTATAACAAATAAATTACATTATTATATTTTACATTATTTTTTTAATTTGTTTTTTAGAGGCTGAGATTTTATTACTCCAACATATATATTTTTTATTTTAGTTTATAGAGACAGTTTTAACAAGACGTATGCTGTAATATAATTCTTATTTAGATTCTATTTATATGTCAAATAAAAATAAAATGTGAATAATTATTTAAATATATATACTCTTTCCAAATTAAAAATTTAACAAAAGGTAGAATTTTAGTTTAAGACATCCACAATTTTGATGTTAATTATTAAGTAAATAATAAGCAGTAGTAGTAATAAGTCTATTATGGTGGTGTAAAAGTTTTTGTTTTTTTTATTTGAAGGATTCTGTAATTGACAACTTCGTTGTTATGACAAATCTGTAGTGTGGCGATCCCCCTGTTACTGTTAGAAAATACAGATCTCAGGTAGTAAATGTCAATCTTTCACTTTTAATTTTGACATTTTGTCAGTTTACAGAAATTATCCACATTTCAAAAGTTTACTTACTATTTTAAAACTTTAAAATATAGGACATTTATATTATTCCCAGTTCACAGAAAATAATTATATTTACATTTTTCTTGTACATTCACAATTTAAAAATAATATGTAAACATAAACATAGGTATATTTCAACAAATATTTGACATTTGTCATGATCTCGAAATTATGTCAGTATAGTGATCTAAACAATTGAGGTAACTTGTCAAAAATCCTGTAGTGACAGCCACATGTGAAGACTCACCTCAACAGGGCAATGGGACAAACGAGAAATAGCAGGTGCTGTGATTTAGCAAACAATGGTTTAAAGTTTTAACATGTCAAGCATTTCCATTGTTTAACATTAAAGCCGACTATGTAAAAAGAAAATAAAAACAATTTGCACCACCTTAATAATAATAGCATTTTTGATTAAAAATTACAAGACTTTGTTACGTATGTCTTTTGAGAGATCTTTAAGTGTGATGTTATTTTGCCCCTATATGAAATAAAAAAAATAATATTGTAAATTCTTCGACATTTTATATATATATATATATGTATAAAGTTTTGTATCCACTGAAGTTTGTTTTTAATTATAATAGAAAACTTTTGATAACAATACACTAATATTTTAACTAGGCTCTTCAAGTGATTATAAAAAATATATCAAAATGAGTTATGAAATTGTGATGTGTTATTAATATTATATATAAATAGGTAGCATAGGTATTAGGTGCTCTGTGTGCAAACTATCAAAAATACGCCTTTTGTTAAGAAAATTATTAAGCTTAATATTTCACCCCTTTTGAGTTAGGTGAAAATATAACAAAATGCTAAAAATGTATACTATGGATTAATATATAAACATGTTGAATATCACATACGTTTTTAAAACATTAATTAAAAAAAAGAAATGGATACTAATGTATTAGCACCACCACTATTAATATCTATATAAATATTGAACATTTTGAAAATATTAATAGTATAGGCATTTTCTGACAATTTAAAAATTTTATATGTATTTAACAAGTTTGATGGTAAATTTGAACCTTTTAGCAAGCATTAAACTAACTTTCTTAAAACTGAGATTTTATCCTTGTTCTCTTTGGGACCTACCTTTAAGTTTGTTATATATTTTTTTCATTTCATTGCACGTATTTAGTTCAAATGTAAGTGGATTATAGTTACAAAATTATTGCAATGTGATACTATGAATCAGTTTATTTTTCTTTATAAATTTTTTCTCATAATCAGAAAACAAAATCAATTGGCCCGATTGATTGGATATGTGATACAACTGGCTTTCGTCTAGTTATGACTGTAAAATTTAGGTGAGAGAAACTGATGGTTCGATACAGTTCAAACTGTTGTAATGTCAAACAACGCCAGTAATATAATAAAAATTCTAACTCATAATTTGAATTGCAATATCTAGCGTTTAAAAAATTAGAACTTATTTTTTTGCTTGTAGACAGATGTCGAAAAAAATAACGGAAACAATATATAATCTGAAAACTGTATATCTCCTCTACAAAACGAGACCGCTATCATTAGAATCGATCAAGATTGTCAAGTGATAGTGCTTAAAGTGACAGTACCTTTTGCCACTTCGTCACAAGAACACGATGGAGCAAAGAGCTAATATTAAATTTTGTTTCAAACTCGTTAAAACTTTTAGAGAAACACTTGAATTGATGTTTAAGATGATGATTGTTTATCCCGTACAAGTGTGTTCCGAGTGCATAAGCGATTCCAAGACGGTCGTGATGCTTTAGAAGACTCAAAGCTACGCCGACCAAAAAAAAAAATCGTGATGAATTGGTGGAGAAAGAGCGGTGTATTGATGCAGAAGGGATGTATTTTGAATAAAAAGAAATCATTTTGGCAAATAACTGTTTTTTTTTTCAATTTAAGAGTTCCGTTATTTTTTCGACATATAGTCAAATTACCAAAATGAATTAATATTTTGAGTACCTTACCTAATAGTAGGTAACATTTTGATGATCACTGGTTTCTCATAGTGTGAAGATACTATTACTTCCATTTGGGAGTGGTGCTATTTTCAGATAAGATAGCAAGATCAAATAATTCCCAACTAATTTGTCTATACTGTGCTGTACATATATAAATACTTTTGAAATGTTTCGGGACTAAATGGAAAAGCTATATAATTTCTCCGTTACCAAAGTAACTTAAATCTGCTGATAATAAATGATAGAAGACTGATGACTTTGTTTTAGGCAAACATCGAGAAGGCAAATACATTTTCCTAAATCGCCCGAATAATGCAGATAGTAATAAATTGCTTAAGGAGGTTTATCTGATATGGAATTGACAAACAAATATTCATAAAAAAATTAATGTAAGCTTATTAATATGAAGAAAATCCTCAAAAACAATTATGACTAGTTTGGATACCTAAGAGACGAGATATTAATAAAATAATTTCACGATTTAGTACAGAGTCTTATGAGAATGCAGATTTTTTTGGTCTTTCCACTTAGAATGCGCAACGCAACAATTAACAAACAGTTTCCACAGCAACTTGTATAAATAGGAAATCGATATGAAGAAACCATATGACAGCTCATAGAAATATACATAATTTATAATAATTCTCCTTCAAACTGCTGTAATTGACTAACTTAACCTCCATATGCGTGATAGCGGCAACGCCGCGGTTCTCGACGTAGCATATTATTTGAAATTCGCAGGTGTGACATATGATGTATATTTCAAGCTTAGGCATCCAAACAAATGATCGAACTCGAGCAAGCAAACGCTGAGCCGAGCACGCCAGCCAAGTGCAATGTTGCCAAATCTAAAGGCTTACTACTTTAGCCGGTCGATAGCCGCACGGTTTAAGGCGTCAGTACTTAAATCGATGTGTGCTATCTGCCCGGGTTCGAATCCCACGGCCGGTAGACCGTAGATTAGCTATGCTTGTACGGAGGAGTGGCACCCTCTGTGTAGGTATGGTAGGGTGGAAGAATGTTGGCTTGGGTCAATGTGAGAGATTGACACCGGTTGGCATTTGAGGTTTTCCAGGTTTCCCTCATTCCTGCACTGAATGGTGGTTAGGGCCTACCAACATAAGTCGTTCCTGGGCGCAAATGCGGCCTGCGTAATAATAATATGCCGCCTCCTCTCCCGCACAAGTCTCCGACTTCTGGGCTAACTCTCGTAGTTAGAATGAGGAGTCGAGATATTATTATTTAGTTACTAGCAAATGTACAGAAAATCTCATTTGACTTTAGACGTACCCGATAAACCTCCTTAATCAAACCAATAGAATGTTCTTTTTTTAAATTAAAATAATTTGAATTATGCAAAATCCTACAAATGTAATGAAGATAATAAATTCATTAATATATAGTAAAATTTGGCACATAGATGTTATGTTTAGTGGAATAACAAATTTGAAATTTAAAAAAAATTGATTTCGACCAATTTTGACACCAGAAAAAGTTAATAATTATGCGTAAATAATTAAAAATAAATTTCAATATTTTTACACAAGAGTTTCTTCCGTACCACCTTATAAAAAAAATCCGATGTATATCTCAGAATTAATACCTATTTTATAAGGGTGTTTTCATTTTATATAGATCACTGGAACTCCGTTTATCCAAATCTCGTTAATCTGAATTTACGGTTTACATAGATCATACTACATAATCTTCTTAGAAGCATATATGAAAAAAAAATAATAATGAGAGTAGGTACATTATTACCAACTTAAGATATAAGTATGTTATCACTCTTTAGTTCTAAACTAATTTTGCTTTGACATAATGTGCAGTAATTAAAATGATATATGTATTATCATTTTATATTTAAATAATTAACTTTCTGGGTTACACAAATTTACGACCATCAGAATTGGATGTGGTTCCAGTTGATCAGAATAAAACGGGGTTACAATATACATTATGTTCCACTTTTCGTTGAACCACTCTTATATCTTTCTTGTGTGAAATTGAAAATTTAGTTCTTTTTTTTACTTTTGCTTAACCGTTAAGTTAAAGTTAGATAAGCTTTTACTTATTGTATTTTATTAAGCTATTCGATACTCGAGCAGACTTTTTTATATAGTTAGTAATAAAAATTTAGCGTAAGAATCTGTTTGCTCCTTAAGCTGAAATTATTATAATTGAAAATATTCACATACATGAAAAAAAAAAAAACAAAAAATAGCAACATTAAAAAACTAACCAACTTTTTATAATTTTTTCTTTTCTTGCCTAGAAATTTCGTCGCGTCTGCATAATTTTCTTTTTAAAATAAGAGTACTGAGACTGATGCTCTGTGGTTTTAATTTTCGACAAAATTGCAACACTGCATTCAAGGCCAAGGTGGTAGAGCCAAAAGCAACCTCATTTGTCTCAGTCAGTTGAGAACTGTTGTTGTAGTGGCGTGTTGAAATGAGTTCTGCTTTTTCGAATCCCAGCAGCGTGGTGAGAAGCCTAATTTGGTTTCTTCTTGCAAAGAGAAAGGGGTAATCCCAGATTTTTAACGAAATTAAAACTGTTTATGAGGATGGTGTGATGAATCGTACAATGTGTATAAGTGGTGTCGTGTCTATAAAGCTAACAGAACGAATGTCCTTGATGTACAAAGGAGTGAGCATCCCTCAATCGTGACTGATGAGATGGTGAATAAGATCAAAGAAATGGTTTGTGTCGACCGTCGATTGACTTTGGATGAGATGAACGCATTGTTTCTACAAATATCCAGACCTCTTCTGTAGCAAATTATTACTGAAACATTTAGTTATTGAAAATTGTGTGCAAGATCGGTACCAAAACAGCTCACGTCAACAGAATCGTATTTTCATGGGAATTTTTTGAGCACTTGGAACTGACAAAGGTATCGGAAAGCTCATTCCTCGGCTCACAAAGTGCATTGAGGTTGAAGGCATTGAAAAATAGTGTTTGTTGTATGTTTCTGAATATTTTTAAATTTGTCATAAATATACTGCTGTTTCGATTTTTAAAAAATTTAATACTCTTTGTGGATATGTCTCGTACAAAGCCTATCCTTGTAAGCTTTTTTCTTCATAGTGCTCCAGAAAAGGAGATAATTATTTACTTATTTTAACGTAATTTTGTTTCTTCTTATGCCGTGTATTAGAAAGGATCCTAAATGCATATTTTTTTAAAGATTAGATAAAGAAAGTTCCTCAAGAATTTGATAGTTTATTGAAAGAAAAAAAAAATTATCTAACTTTGATAGTTTTTAAATTAACGGTTATATTAAAGTAGGAAAAAACTAAATATTTTTTAGAACTGGATATCTGTGACTAAATTCAAATTGGGTAACATCCGAATAATCGTGTTATAAAAATTATTATTTCCTGCTAAAATGTCACAACTTTTCAATCTAAAATAAACAAAATATATGGGTGGTTCCATAAAAAGTGAGACACAGTGTGTACATATATTTATACATACACATAACATACATTAACACAGACATATACACACACACAAATCTTGGATACCTAAAGTGATGGTCAAAAATTAAAAATGTGATACATATTAGGCAAAACAGCAAGCATGTAAAAATGCTTTTTAAGTACTGCCATTTTGTAATAATTTTAATTCTGCTTCACTCTGTTCATCATTAATCGGTAGGCCCTGTACGTTTTCAACTATCACCGAGTTGACCATTTTGTTAGATTCTTCACCGTCTTTAATTTTTCTGAAATGAAACGGTACACACTACAGGGTTAATATATATTTATTACGTTACTACCTTCCAAATGCTTCGCCTTCTTCTATAGTTTCTGGTAATTTTCTATTAAGAGTTTCTGGTAAAGCCAAGGACAAAACACCGCCAATCAATGAGAGTGTTCCAAATATTAAAAGAGGTAAATGGATCCAGATACGAGTCTAAAATATAGAAAACAATATAAACTTTTGTAGAAATATTTAAAAAATAAATAATATACCATGAGGCTTGAATTTATGAAATTATCAATTCAATCCTATAGAAGAAAGTGGATAGTACCCTTAAATAGGTACCTTCTGAGAATAAAGGGTATAATTCTTTAGATCATTCTAATGGAAAAAGTTTTTAGTGTTGAAGTTTTTGAAAAAAAAAATACGATCTTGAAGTCATTTTTGAGTAATTTTTTTACTTCAATCTAAAATAAATTGTATAAATAAAAAATAAATAAAACTGTTAATTTTACAAAATAATATAGGAATTTTTTGTTAATACAATTGTAAATATCCAACTTACTGCTCTACAATTTTTTTAGTATTTAAAATTGTATTTGTAACAAAAAATGTTTATGTATTTTTATTTATTTATTTATTGTAAAACAAGTAGTTTTAAAGTTATTTTTGAAATACTCATCAGCTCTGTGTGTGCTTAATATAGCATACATTTATAAAGCTTTTTTTTGCTGATTTGTGATGTAAAACTCATTATTAAAGTTTGACCAAGTATTTCAATTACACCCTTTCAACATACCATTAAATTAATATAAGGAGCAATTATAGACCCCAACCGAGCACAAGTGGAACCAGCTCCTAGTCCGGCATTTCGTATTACAGTCGGGAACTGCTCAGTAGAAAAAATGTACACAGCTCCATAACTTGAAGTAATAGCTAATTTCCCTATCATTGCCAAAGTAACAACCAACCAGTGATGATCTGAAAGATGATAGCTCTCACTACAGTTATTATTTATTATTTGTCAGTACATTTATTAGATGCAAAACAAGAGATACTATATACAGGGTAATTCCCAAGTCATCTTTTTTAACTTGTTAAATATATGAAATGGAAAATCTGAAAATGATGTAAACTGTTATATTTTTAAGAACATGAAAAGATAAAGTCAGAGAAGGTTGTTTAGAGTAAAAGTCACATCAGAATTTTTTTACTGGTACTTTCTATTTCGGTTGTTTCACAATAAAATTTAAAAAATATATTATTGGTTAAAATAATACTGGTTTGAAAAAAATATTAAAAATTTGGGTTGTGCAGTGTAGTAATAAGGATTTTTTGATTTGTCATTCCACTATGCAAAGTAACATACTTGTAATTAACGTAATTAAAAAAATATCAATTTAATAATTACCCTGTATAAATTTTTATATCACATATGCTGTAATAATAAGACATATTGCATCCAAATATCTTTTATTATGGGTGTGTCAAAATATTTTACTTATTAATGATATTAATTATTTTAATAAATGCTTTGTAAGGGAGCTGCACCACCTTAAAGGGGGCTTTTTCATTCGATTCTAAAAAAAAGGTCACACAATCAATTTCAAAACACTTTTTGAAACTTGCAGCATGCAGCAACAAGGAGAGCCCCCCTGCCCCCTAGCTACACCCATAGGGGACCTCAAGAAATACTTCTTTTTTAATATTTTCAAAGCGAGTAAACATAGAATTATGAATCTCGGTATGTTGAATACACATTAAACGCTCCAGTGAACTGTATAGACGATATAAAAAAAATTAAGTCAAGGGTGTCCCAGGAATGAATAGCAATTACTTTGTTTGTTTAAGTACCTTAGTACTTAACCCTTTCACTGCTCCAGACGTATATATTTGCTAAAAATTTATAGGGCTCAAACTGCTCCAGACGGATAAATTGGCATGAATAGTTAAATTGGATCAGGCTGCTCAAACCGTATATATTCGCAACCATGCGCATTAGTGACTGGGTTATTGCAATTGGTAAGTCGAATTTTTGCGGGCGAGCTTATACCGATTGTGACAAATATTTTTATGGAAAGAGGTACTGGTAATAGTACCAAGATTGTTCATGTTTCTTTAAGTTTCTATTTAGTACATATACTGTATTTTATTCAAAATAAAATCGTAAAATTTAACGCAAATCGTAATTTAACACAACATAATGTAAAACTATAAGTGGTCTAACTGCTCCAAACGTATATATTCGCACGCGATAAACAATTGCGCACGGCGCGGTAGCTACGTTCAGACGTATTGCGCAGCGAAAGGGTTAATATGTTAAATCTCTAACATTACAAAATCCATACATAAAATGATGTGAGCTAGTTCTCGATTACAGAAATGTACCATTTTTTGTTTTTAAATTTGGTCAATAATATGCAACACAACACCTTTTGATTTGTATAAATCCATACTCTGTTAGATTATCTGTTTTGTAGCTAGCCTGTCGAATAAGTGAAATTTCGATATGGATTATGTAAATGTTAACTTTGTTGCCATGACTAAACCTGTAGTGTGGTGACAACACAGTTACTTTCTGGAAACATAAAAATACAATTCATTTTAGTTGACACTTCGTGACTCTTCGGTAGTTTACAGAAATTAACAAGTATTTATTTAATTTGGTTTATTAAAACTATACGTACTTTTTATCTACTACTTCAAAACTTTAAAATATACATTTATATTATTACCTACTCACACAGAAAATTGTGTACCAACATATTAGTAATAACTGTTTATTATTTTACTTTCACAATGAGAAGCAGACAGACATCAGTATAACGAGTTAAACAATAACTGAAGCAACTTGTAAAAAATCCTGTAGTGTACTGCCACCAGTGAAGACTCATTACAACAGTGCAACGGAACAGACTAGAAATAGCACAGGTGCTGCACAGATGCTGATAAAGCAAACTGTCAAAAAATTCAAGTAAACAAGCTTTTGTTTTCACGGCCTGCCTACCAATTTGCTAAATCTTCTTGTGTACATAACATGTAATAAAACGTTTAAATTGATTTATTTTTCTTTACTTGGTAGAGAACAAAAAACTATCATTAATTGATGTTGTCGACATTTGAAAATAGTAAGAGCTAAGCCCTCCTGCTTGAGATAACCCTTCTTTGAATAGTTTTTGAGCAGTTCGTTGGAGCATTTAGTTAGTCCAATATACCTATGAAATGTCTTTAAAATAGTAAACCCTGTTATCGCAAAAATTTTAAAATTCTTTAATAAACTTACCCTTTGGAACAGCCATAGTCAAAAGTAATGCACATCCCGCTAATATCATACATCCACACATAACTTTTTTCCTACCCCAACGATTTAAAGTTAATAGCACAAATATATATGCTGGAATTTCCACTGCACCCGATATAACAAAATTTAAATACGGGTTTCCTCCTAAATTGTTTGTGTTCCATGATAAACCATAGTAGGTGATATTATTGGCAAACCTAAAATATAGTATGAGAGCAAACGAAGAACAATTTGGAACAAAGCATACTACATTAACTTAATTCTATTTTCCTACCAGTCAAAAAAGATTATAAGTGCCCTTTTTCGTAAACTAGAATGTTTAAAGATATCTAATACTGATGGAGATTTTTGGTTAGGGTCTTTAGTCTTTTTTTGATTTTCTGTGGAAGCCAGGAGTGAATTCAGTGTATCGTCAGATATAGTTACTTTATTATATTTAGCAGCTATCTGAATCAGTCTCTTTGCTTCAGTAATTTTGTTCTTACTTATTAACCACCTCGCCGATTCGGGAATGCACCTGAAATATAAGGAAATATTACACATCTTTGTGTAACAGGAAGCGAGATATTTTTCAAAAAGTCGCAACTCTGAAAATAGCACAGCTTTTGTGTCTAAAATAGGCCTTCTGAAATTATGATATTGACATAAGAATATGGAAGATTCAGAAAAGGTTTACAATACAAGGATTGCGTCTTATATTTGGGGAATAAAGAACAAAAAAGGAATTATTCGTCGTATATAGCTTTATTGTTTTTCAAAATATTATCCATGAAGAGAAATATTCTCCAAGCACCAATTTTCAAAGCACTTTTTCCATTCCGATTGAGGTACCTCCAAAACATGCATTTTGAACGCATCAACCGCTTCTTTAGACATCGAAAAATGTTGACGTCGTAAATTATTTTTTATGTGCGGGAATAAAAAAAAGTCATTGGGTGCTAAATCAGAGCTGTATGGCGGATAACTCATCAATTCGAATTTTTCAATTCTCAAAAAGTTATTGTCTTGGTGGAGAATGATGCACTGTCAGTGGTATTTTTCCAAATACTTCTGGAAAACAAATGGTTGAGAATTGACTATCTGACGTTGCACTAATGGTAATTACCACATCTGTTTTTTTCAAAAAAGTGCGTGCACAAATTACTATCCATGATTCGTAACCTACAGGATGTCATAGATGTGTTTTGAGGTATCACTATCGTATTTTATGAACATTTCTTAACAACCAGTGACAAAACTTTTCTGTGTTAAATTCTGTGGGATTCAACGCAAACTAATTTTTATCATGCAATATTGAATGTATGCTGATCCTACTAATTCCCAAGGATGCCTCAATCTCACGGTAAGTCACGAGATCATCTTACAATATCAAGTCACACACAGAATCAAAGTTTTCTGGAACAACTACCAATTTTGGACGAGCTTCACGAAATTTGTCAATGAGTGAACAGCCTCTATCGAATTCCATATACCATCGATATATAGTGGTTTTTGATGGTGCTTCATCGCCAAATGTTAAATTAAGTTTATCGATGCACTGTTGTTGAAATAATTCATGTATACAACACAAATAGCGCCTGTATGTCAAAACGTGCAGGGTAGGTATACCAACAAAAAGTCAAACTTTATGATAGGGGCATCGGTTGTCAGTTGGCAGCACTAGAATCATCCATTCCCGAAATATAAAAGGCAACCCTTGTAGTTATTCTAAAGTTTAAATTTGAAACTGGATTAATTGATTCATTAAGTGAAATGTTATAAAAGGTAAACCAATACAGTAGTTTAATAATATAATTGATCATCCTATGTAAAAATATCAAGAAAACCAGTTAAAATGATCTGAACCGAACATACCACAATTTATGATTTAAAAAAGAGTGACCGCAAAAAACCTGTGATTTTCGCCCGATTCTTCGCAGAGAATTAAAAAAAAAATACATAAAAATATGTTTTTGGTTGCAAATTACTTGTTGTAAAAAACTGAAATGTGCATAGCTTAGGGGTTGAAAAAATGCCAAAAATAAAGAATTTGAATATTAACAATTGACATAAAAACTATTAGCATGTGAATTATCTTAATATATTTTTTTTTGAATTTTTACAATTATTTGATATTCTCTATTTTTAGGAATGATTCCACCCCCTGAGCGTGCTTAAGGGTGGATTTTCTAATTCAACATGCTTATTTCAGTCATGAAAATAAATATTTCCTTGTATCAAGAATCATTCGATAGAAAAATTCTCATGTTAATAGTTTTTATATGTATTGGTAATATTTCATTCTTCTTTTTGGGCGTCTTTTCAACCCCTAAATTTTTGAAAAGTTTCAAAAAACTAAAAGCTATGTTAATTTTAATTTTTTACAAGTAATTTGAGACCAAAAACATATTTTTATCTATTTTCTTTAGTTCTCTGCAAATTGTGAAAAAACGGGCGATTTTTGCGGTCACTCTTTGGTTTTGGAAATAAACTACCATCATTATCCCAAAACTGTTTTTCATTATTTATTTTTAGACATAAAATAACTATATTGAGAATTCTGAATTGAGAAGCAAAAATTATAAATTTTACAATTTATAAAAATTATTTACCACCAGTAACATAAAAATAGAACTCCTGGAATAGTTAAAGCAAATTGTAATTTTCGCCAGTTGTAAATGTAGAGTGCAAAAACAGCAGTTAACATATATCCAAGTGAGAAGAACATTTGAGTAACGGTTCCAGCTATTGTTCTCTTGGAAGGACCTACCATTTCTAAACCTAAAAATTATCGTTATATAGACATATAATACCAGATAATACATATACTGATAGAAAAAATCATGTCATTTCTGTTGAGGGCTGACTAAAGGCCTATTAAGAATTTGAGTATTGATTAACTAATGGAGCATTTAGATGTCATATTATGAATGAAATATTTAGTATATTCTAAAATATAGTATAGAAGGAGTAGAAGGACTAGCATAGCCGATATTTAATAATTCTAAGAGGATGTCATTTAGAATTTTCAAAACATCTTTTAGATAGTGAAATAATATGATGAAATTGATATATAGGTACATAGAGTACCAAACAAGAAAAATATTTTTTATGAGACATAAAATACCAAAGTAGTCAGTAAGCTTTGCTCATAGTTGGTCTTAAATAATATTGAATTGCTTTTAGCTTTAGACTATTAAAAGATCTCTCATAACTTGCACTGGAGAATGGTACCGTCATTGCTATATTATACAATTTATACATTTCATGAGACTAAACTAAAATCTTGTAAAAGATGTATGAGATCTGTAAAAGTCGTTACTTTAATATTATTAATTAATTATGACTATATCACATCTGTAATTGTTGGCTAAAGGGAAAATGTTCTAAATTTAATTTAGATAGGCTCAAAGTATAAGCATATTTTTGTTGTAAGGGTTACAAAGGTAGGTAATCATAATATTAATATTTGTTTTATGCTCTTGCTCCTTGAAAATATGAAAATCAGTTTTTTTTCATTTTTTTTTCATTTCATATATTACTTTTAAAAGGTTGGGCAACTGGTTAGGCAAGAGGAATTTTGGTTGGGCTTTTGCCTAATCGTGCCCACTTCTAATGTCATCACATTCACGGTCTAAAATTACTTCATCATACAACCAAATTTTAATCGATATTCAAAAATACAGATTCCATCTTAGTCATAGTTTTGTATACTCGCGCCATTATTCTATGGCTAGAAATTGGCCTCAATGATTTGGGATCGAGGGGGATTATCCCTCTTTATCCTGCCTCATCTCGTGTAGGCCTGGACAGCCTTCGTAGGTGGGCCCCATCCGTCGTCTACCCCGACCGCAAATGCGGCCGGTGTAGGCGCTTTGTGGGACCTCCTTTTGTCCTGGCTGGGCCCCGCCGGCTAGGGCCCTTTCTTCTGGCGCTCTTCTTGCTTCGCCGGCTCGTCTGTGTAAACCCCGGGGGTAGTGTCATGTTTATGTGTGGTATGGTTGGGTAGGGTAGTGCGGCTATGCAGCCTGGGATGCGCTTTGCTAAGG